GGCAGGCAGCAGCAACAACGGGAGGTCAGGTAAGCCCCGCTGCCAGCTACTGACTTCGTGCCAGCCGCTGACACTCCAATGAAACCCCCCCCCGCCAAACAGTATTTGAAATTAGCCAGGTGCATTTTGCACCTGGTTATTGGTCACTTGCAACCAAGTGAAGATGCCCGGGTGCCAAGATGGCACCTGACATCTCCACCATCTGACTGGCTGGGACACAGCAGCATTTTTTTGGTGCTGTGCTATGGCACGAGTCAGATTTTAGCTGGAGCTGACAATACACACAATTCATTTTCAGTTTTGTAATATTCTTTTTTCTAAACATTCCGTTAGTGTGCCCATAACCTAGGTGTAAGGGGTCATATGGAGAATAGCTTTTATATATCAGTTTCTAACACTGCTGCCATTATGGTTATGTCAGCTGGAGTTATGTCAATACAGTGGTACCTCGGGTTAAGAACTTTATTCAACCTGGAACTGTTTTTAACCTGAGGTACCACTTTAGCTAATGGGGCCTCCCGCTGCCGCCGAGCGATTTCTGTTCTTCATCCTGAAGCAAAGTTCTTAACCCGAGGAACTACTTCTGGGTTAGTGGAGTCTGTAACCTGAAGCGTCTGTAACCTGAAGCGTCTGTAACCCAAGGTACCACTGTATAGCTATGTGCACTTGCCAACATGGTCTGAAGGCATATGATGCAGCCACCTTGCTGAAGCTATGCAGGTCTTATTCTGGTCAGTCTTTGGATGGGAGACTTTTCAGGAGTCCTATGAACACTGCCTTGACCTCTACCATGCGTTGGAAGGTATTATATACAATAAACACAAACTTAAAAGGTTGTTTCTCTCCCCACCCTGTCACCCCACATTTTGGTGTCCTGAGCATCCTGCACATGGATATTGTGGGAATCAGAAGAATCATGAAAACAGGAAGCTGTCTTCTTTGTCCATCTAACCCAGTGTTGTCTACTCTGACTGGCAGCCTAACTGGGGTCTCAGGGTCTCTTTCCCATTGCTTGCCACCTGCTCTTTGTAACCCGAGATGCCAAAGATCAATCCTGGGAACTGCATGCAAACCATCCGCTCTACTGCTGAGCTGTGGACTAAAGAAAGCCCATCCCATTGCCCAGACTTGACTGTCATGTTGGCCACATCCTTCATACTGAATGCTCTTGTTCAGGAAACGCAGCAACAAGGCCTGATGTGGCATGAGATTAAAGCAAAAAGAATGCGAAAAGAAGTTTGAAAATGGTAAGGATGCTCCAGTTTGGAAGAGTTGGCAGCGGGCTCGTGATCTGTGAATGTGCCCTTCGTTAACTGGCACTTTTGCTCTCTCCACCAGAGAGCTGTCAACAGAACTGCTCTTTTTACGGAGCTGGACTCAAGCCACAAGTTGGCACACAGCAGCAATCAGCTCAGAGTCACAGGAGAGATGGAAGCGAAGAGTGTCATTTCCGTAAAAGCAGCGAGAATTCCTGGGCTCAGTTCCATTTTCTATCTATCTATCTCTTTCACGTAGACTGATTCGGAAGGCCTGCTAAGAGATTGTGCATACAGAAATGAACTCAAATAACTGGTAGAATGCCCACTAGGGTTACAATGTCAGAGTTTATGGCCCTGGCACCGTTGCTGTGCATTAATCCCAGAAGCCTGCAGAAGAAGAACTAGATGCTTAGTTCAAAACTATATATCAAGGGTGGAGAACCTTTTCTGGCAGGAGGCCAGATCCTTATCTGTCCACCCCGGAGGCCCAAATCTGGCAGGTGGTTGGGGCTTCTCTCCTGTCAAACACCTGACATCATAGCGACATCAGATTTGACAGCACTGTGAAGCCCCGGCTGTTGGGGCTCTAAGAGCAGTGCAGAGCTCTCTGAAACAGCTTTTGCAAACAATCCCACACTGCTTTTTTGAATCGCAAAAAAAAAAATAAAAAAAATCCCAGAGGTTTAAAGAGCAGTGCAAGGCTGTTTGCAAAAGCGCTTTCAAACAGCCCCTTAGAAGCTTTGGCTGGGCACCCCTGCTACCAGCAGAGGAATAGGCACAGACAGTCAAACTGAACAGGATTTAATACCTGCTCATCAGCTGATGAGTGGAGGTTAAATCCTGCTGATTTTGGGTGCATGCACCAGTTCCTGGCAGAGGAATAGGTGTGCGCATCACTGCAGAATCAAACCCACAGTTACATGAGTATCTGGTTAGATTACTGCAAACCATTATACATAGGGCTGCCTCTGAAGATGGTTTCAAAACTTCAGCTGGTGTAGGATTCAGCAGCCAGGTTGCTCACTGGGACGAGATGGTTTGAGCATATTACACCAATCCTGGCCTGATTGCATTGGCTTCCACTTAAGTTTCCAAGTGCTGGTTTTGACCCATAAAGCCTTAAATGGCTCAGGACCTCAATACCTCAAGGACTGTCTCTCCCATTGTGAACTGCCTCAGACCCTACAATCATCTTCTGAGGCCCTTCTTTGTGTGCCTCCTTCACAAGAGGTCCAGAGGGTGTCAACACTAGAATAAGACTTTCTGCTGTGGCTTCCCATTTGTGGAATGCTCTCCTCCCCAGGGAGGCTCGACTGGCCCTTCATTACATATCTTTAGGCACCAGGTGAAAATGCTTCTGTATGACAGAAGTGGCATGCTGAACTATTCAGCGCAATGGCCAAATGCTGATTACGGAGTCTACTGTCTCCCGCCCCCATTTCCACACTGCTAATTAAACTCAGCTCTCTAGCTAGGAAAGGGAACCGCAGTCTCTCATAAAGCAGAAGGGTCACCAAATGAGTTGGCTGCCTGAAGCCTTTACGTTTGGCACAATCCAGTTTCTACCAAAGACTACAGAAACACACTGAACACTTTCCAGCCATTTAGTATCTTCAGAAATCAGGGCATCTGCATTGCTCAACTCTTCTGATAAGCTTGAGGTCAGAGCACGCATAGAACCGATGGGGCAGATCCTTGCAACCAGCTAGGGCAGCCTTTCTCAACCTGTGGGTCCCCAGATGTTGTTGAACTACAACTTCCATCACCCCTAGCTAGCAAGGCCAGAGCTCAGGGATGATGGGATTTGTAGTCCAACAACATCTGGGGATCCACAGGTTGAGAACCGCTAAGCTAGGGTAACTCATAGCACAGCCAGTTCTGTATGGGCCTGTAGTTGGAGGGATGGCATAAGAGAATCGGACCATTGGAAAGTCCCATGTTTGTCCTTTGTCCTTCTGAGCTTGCAAATTCTTATGCTGTTAACCATACTTGACAGGGGAAGACATTTTAAGGCAGGGGTGGCTAATCTGCGGCTGTCCAGATGTTGTTGAACTGCCCATCAGCTCCAGCCAGCATGGCACATTGCTCATGGTGATGGGAGTTCTGCAATATTTGTAGGGCCGCAGGTTCCTCATCCATGTTTTCAGAGCTCTTTCTGCAAAGAGTCTACAAGCACAAACCTTACAAACGTCCAGCTACTTACCGCAACCCATATTCCATTGGGTTTCGGTGACAATGATGTAAAAGGTCAAAAGGGAGCAGGAAGAGAGGAGATGGTGAAGATCTGATCTCCCGTCTCTTTAAAAATGGCAAAAAACTGCCTCAAGGAGGGGAGCACCATCTTGATCAGGGCAGTGGCACTGAGAGAGGGGAGATCTGCTGTTGTTTCCCACATCATTTCCCCAACTAAAGTAATTTCACCAAAGATGCTATTTTGCCTTGTAAGGGAAAACTTACATGTACAGTGGTACCTTGGGTTATACAAACACTTCAGGTTACATACGCTTCAGGTTACACACTCCACTAACCCAGAAATAGTGCTTCAGGTTAAGAACTTTGCTTCAGGATAAGAACAGAAATTGTGCTCCGGCGGTGCGGCAGCAGCAGGAGGCCCCATTAGCTAAAGTGGGGCTTCAGGTTAAGAACAGTTTCAGGTTAAGAACGGACCTCCGGAACGAATTAAGTACTTAACCCGAGGTACCACTGTACAGAAATCTGGCTAAACTTACATAGGGAGCTGCCTATGTTATGTTTCATGTTATTTATATTCCACCTTTCCCCCTCTTACATGATCTTAGGAGACTCCCAGCATGAATTGAAACAAATGCAGCTAAAAACATACAATCAATATAAATATATATTTTTAAAAGTAGCCCTATTTAAAAACAGCCTTAGATACACTTGACACTGTTTGGAAGCACACACAAAAGACAACATGTACAGAACCCACCCTCAGAAGACAGCCAGTTAGTGTCTGTACAAAAAAAGTCTTTGCCTGCTGGTGAAAGCAAAGCAGAGAGGGGGCCTGTCTAGCTTTCCATGGAAGCAAATTCCCAATCTGGGAGCAGCCACTGAGAATGCCCTGTCTTGTGTCCTCACCAACCTGCCTGTGAAGGTGGCAAGACTGAGACAAAGGCCTCCCCAGAAGTTCTCAAAGCTCAGGCAGGCTCATACAGGGAGATAAGGTTATTTGGGTAGCTTAGACCCAAGCCATAGAGGGCTTTGTAGGTCATAGCCAGCACATTGAATTGTGCCCAGTGAAATGGACAGTGGAATTGTTGTAACAAGGAGCTTCTGTTTTCCCTATAACCAGCTCTGGTCAGCAATCTGGCAGCAGCATCTTGGACCCGCTGAAGTTTCCCAGCACTTCTTAAAGGCAGTCCAGTGCAGAATACATGACAGTTATCCAAACAGGGTGTAACTAAGCTGTGCATCGCTATGGCCAGATCAGACATCTTCAGAAAGGGGTACAGCTGACACCCCCCAATCACCTGGGCATTTAGCCTTAGGGCTGAATCCAGGAATACACCCAAGCAGTGAACCGGAGGTTTCAGGGGGAGCCTGTCTGACTTTTTGACTCCCAAGGAACTCCTCTGTCTTGTCTGGATCAAGCTTCAGTTTGTTCACCCTCATCCAGCATCATGCCAAAGTCTGACCATGGGCTCATCTCCCTCCATACCGGCAGCAGCAGCTGGCAGCGGCTCTGTGGGGCTTCAGATGGGGGACATTTCCATCCCTACCTGAAGATGCCGGGGATTGAACCTGGGACCTTCGGCCTGCAAAACTGATGCTCTGCCACTGAGCCATGGCCCTTATCCCTGCACTGAATGGCAGGGCAGCTAGACATAAGGGGAGGGCCACATGACAGCCTGTAGAAACCCCCTCTTCCTACACTACTATTAAAGGTGCAGGAGCCCTTTCCTCACTTGCTGCCCTACTCTACAGTGATGTGGGTCAGAGAAATACGTGATTTCACAACGTTAATTCCTGCAACACCCTATATGGATACAGGCAAAGCCCGTTTCAGAGTTGCAATTATCCTTTTTGGGAAGCACAGGGTTGCTTTCAGTGCTAGACCTGCTGAAATCAGTGGGTGTGGTTAACTTAGGTCCATTAATTTCAATGGGTCTACTCTTGAGTAAAATGTAGCTGGATGCAATATTTTAAATACACTGCGCAAACACACGTTCTATGTATTCTATGTATTTGTAAATAGGTGGGGTGGTAGATAAGGTACTGGTTTAAAGTCAGAAGAAGCACATCATTCAAACATACCAAATCAGAAATGTTAGGCACATCAGATACAGGGTCAGACTCATTGGTCCATCTAGCTCAGTACTACCTACACCAGGCATAAGCAAACTCGGCCCTCCAGATGTTTTGAGACTACAATTCCCATCATCCCTGACCACTGGTCCTGTTAGCCAGGGATGATGGGAGTTGTAGTCCCAAAACAGCTGGAGGGCCAAGTTTGCCTATGCCTGGCCTACACTGACTGTCAGCAGCTCTCCAGGGTTTCAGGCAGGATACTCTCCCAGTCCCACTTGGAGATACTGGGAACTGAACCTGGGACCTTCCATGCTCAACCATGGAGCCACAGCTCTGTTCTGAAAACCCACATCACACTTCCCTAAGACTGTCAGTGAGGGAGGGGTCGACATGCAGTGAGAGGAGAGGAGGAGAGAGACATGAAAATAATAGAACTCTAGAATTGGAAGGGACCCCCGAGAAATCTGGATACAAATAATATATATAAAGTAGTACCATGGAAGTCGAGCAGAATCCATTCCAGAAGTCCATTCAACTTCCAAAATTTTCAGAAACCAAGGAGCAGCTTCCGATTGGCTGCAGGAAGCTCCAACCCCATCGGACGTTTGGGTTCCAAAGAACGTTCGCAAACCGGAACAATCACTTCCGGGTTTGCGGCGATCAGGAGCCAAAACGTCGAAGTTCCAGGGCATTTGACAACCAAGATACGACTGTAATTGGAATCTCTGGATAACAGAAAGCAAAAAAGTAAAAATACACCCTGACTCATACCCGTGGGACCATTTAGCACACTGCGGCCAACTCCTGCAAAGCATTTCTACTCAGCACTTTGGCATTCTTTAAGCGAAGCTGGTTCCCATCCTTAATAATTAAGCCAGAAATCTAGAGCAACATGTTTTGCACTTGGGCATATCCATATTTTTTTTAAAAAAAAAATGCATGCTGTTAAATTCTCCTCCATGGAACTCCCCAGCCTCCCTAGTTCAACAAATGGCTTACATGTGTGTCGCCTGAGTTCCTCAGAGTAAAACAGTTGCCAATTTGTTCCCCAGCATTTCCCTTTAACTGCCACGCCAAACCACCAAAGCACTTGGTATTACCACGGACTGATGAAATGCCATCTGCTAATGCAGACTGTCTTAGGAAGAGAACGAATTCGAGACTTATTCCAAGTTGGTCAGATCCCTGCCCCAAGAAGCTTACAATCTGGAAAATGCCACGAGGGAGACCAAGCAGTCATAGTTCAGCGGGAGAGCCCTAGGTCCAGCACTTCCAAGTAGGACGGGGGTGGAAAGCCCACTTGGCGTTTGAGAAAGTCGCTGCCAGTCAATGTCAAAGGTAATGAGTTAGATGACTCAATGGTCTGCCAGCTACAAATAAGGCAGCTTCCTATGTTCCTATGCAAAGCACTGAAAGGGAAAGGGAATGAACAGGGCGAGTGTATAGGATTACTGCCATTACATGCCATTACTTTGATACAGTAGAGTATGGGCGCAAGGGGGCATATCTCATTTTTACTGAAATATTGCAGTAGTCTTCCAACTAGGGATTCATGCCATGCTGCTGTTTCTGTGCCATTTGTAAAAGCTTTCTCCTTTTTTGCTGTGATCCCAACCAATTAGGGATCACACAGTGAACGCGATGGCACCACGGTGTTGCAGAGCCAATCAGGTCCGGCTATAGGGCAATGTCAATGAGAGCAAACAGTGCCAATCCTTTGCCCTTACTTTGAATGTATGTTTAAATGGGAAGGAAGGTCCCCTTTAGGATGGCAGACAGGCTCCCTTGACAACAAGCAAAAAGACTCCTAGGGTGACTTGCAAAGTCACACAGCCTCCGTCCTCAAGCTTAGAATCTAAAGGACATAACACAAAAGGAAACAAGGATGGAGAAGGAGAAGGAAAAAGGCAGGCACAAGTTCTGAAAGTTACCGTTCTCGTAACAACTAGGAAACAATTTAGGTAGCCTGATGGAATGGCTACTGCTAGGGGACATTTTTGGGGTGCAGAGTCAAAGACAGCAGATGGTCTCTTTGCAGAGTCAACGGAATAACCCTGCTTCTCTCTGCTCTGCAGCCTGATGTAATGGATGCTACCACTAGGCTGAGGAAGAGCCCAAGGCAGTAGATGGTCTCTCAGCAGAGCCAATGGAATAATAGTCCTGCCTTCCTTCTCTCCCCCTGCTTTGCGGTCTGATAGAACAGATGCCACGAGGGAAACATCCACTGCCTTGCTGTGTTGCATGGACATATTCCGTCCCACCACTCCATTTTGGGATTCCTTTGCCTGCTCCTGAAAAAAAAGAGATTGCCCTTTGATGGGGCATCAACATGTTCTTGAAACTCCACTTTTAGTTTGGACCAGCACTGCTTAAAGTGAGAGCTGAACATTACAAATGTATTTGAAGAGTATCATACTAATGCAGAAAACTATCAAGTCAGATAGCTGGTCCATCTCACCCAGCACATTCTACACTGACTGGCAGCTGCTCTCCAGGGAATCTGAGACAGGGACCTTTCTCAGCCTTAGCTGGACATGCCAGGGACTAAACCTGGGACCTTTCAACACAACGTGTGTGCTCTGCATGGAGCTAAGGTGGCTTTTTGCTTTTCATGTTTGCAAATGAATGTTACATTGATGGAAGCATAACGATAATAATTTCTGCTGTGCGATAAACAGTGGGGAAAGGCTTGAGTCATAATTTGAGTTCTAGATAATCTCTCAAGAGGTTTTATAACCATTTCCCTCCACGCTGCTCATCCATGTTTTGCATCACACACATTAATAAGAGGAGTCTAAAGCACAGTTTGGGAGCTCTGCTTAAGCAACTGCTAAAGAAAAAGTCTTCTGAAATGAGGTGGGGGTTTTCTGCATCACAGTCTAAAATCCCCATGGGGGGGAGAGTTTCTTTAAACAAAACTGTGGGAAAAGACTTCTTACCAGGGAGTAAGCCCCACTGAACTCAATTATACAGAATTGCACTGTAAATGTTGATCCCCCATTAGCTATTGAAAATTATCCTCTACTCCATACAGGAAAGGTCACACAAAGGGAGGAGAGAGGGGTTTTTTGTGCTTAATAACTTTTTTCCAACAATGGTAAAAGAACAGGAGAGAGTAGGTCACATTATTGGAGCGAGGTGAGAATGTGCCAAGTGAATGGGGATATTTGACATCTATGGATCTTTTAAGGTATGTGTGGAATTCAATGAAGTGCAATTCATAGCAGAACCATTGAAATTCATGGGCATAGCTCTGTTAGGTCCAATAACTGCAGTGGGTCTACTTTGAGTAACACCTAACTGAATCCCACCCTGTGTAATTAAGGCTGCAATTCTATGCTCACTTGAGAGTCAGCTCATTGGCACAGGACATGCTTTGCAAAGCCCTAGGCTCAATCCACAGCATCTCCAATTAAAAAAATGATATCAGATAACAGGCCCGGGAAAGACTTCTCTGCCAGTGGATCTGGAGAACTCCTGCCAGTCAGAATTGACAACAGTGGCTCAGATAATCCTTCCCCAACCAGGTGCCCTCCATACGTTTTGGACTACAGCTCCCATCGTTCCTGATCACTAGCTACACTGGTCGCCATCCTGGCATCCAGAGATCTCCAGGTGGTCACAGCTAGACCCGTGACAGTTGAAAAACGCGCATGGCTAATTTCTAACTGGGGTCGGACATTGGTCTATCTAGCTCAGCATGATCTATTCTACAGTGACTGGCAGCAGCTCTCTGGGGTTTCAGACAAGAGACAGTCCCAGCCCCAGGAACTGAACCTGAGACCTCCTGCATGCAAAGCAGACACTCTACCACTCAGCTATGGCCCTTTCCAGAGGAGGAATTATAAGTCCAGCGAGTTTTACTAGGATATTGCCTGACACTGTCTTGAACTCTCACCCCACTGCATCTCCTCTCTCTCTCTCTTTCTCTCTTTCTCTCTCTCTCTCTCTCTCGGGCTGTAAAGCCTGTCTCCTTGCGTTTAAATCTCTTTTTATCAACAGTGGATGGATACCTGCCAAGGGGCTTCTCTCCCTCCCTCCCTCCCTGCACATAGCCATGCTCAGGCACACAGCCACCTCCTCGATTAAAAACAATGAAATGCTACAGGCACTTCTGCAGCCCCACCAGTCCTATAAAACCCGGGAGGGTTGTTTTTTATTATTATTATGATTTTGTCACTGCGCCAAGAATCTAGATTTATGGACATGCTTCCACCCCCAGTCTTCCTTCCAGAGCTTTAAGCTTTGGGCTTCAAACAACGGATGTTCCTTCTCTTCCTGAATCCCCCCTCTCCTGAACTGCCCCAAGGATCCCTAGATCAATGAAAGAAACAGCTGGGGGGGGGAGCCCCAACTGTCTGACTTTAGCCCTCCGGCCAATCTGAGGCACAGCAGTTGAGAAAGCAAGAGTCTGCACTGAGTCTGGCATGAATGCCTAGCTCAGTGTTGTGTTCAGACAAGAACTTCAACCATTTTCAGGTCTCTTTGGGTCACCCCCCCCCCGACCTTATAACACTTCTAGGAATGTCATTTTGGGGCTGTCCAAGGAGAGATTTGAAGCTTTCTGCGAGTGAATTCAGGCAGCGGTGCCATCAGGCTAGGAATTGCAGGCAGCATAAAAAGCTCCCCCCCCCCCAGCAGCCCTGCTCCCAAAATACCCCAACACAGTAGGGTTGCCTTACTAGCTTCTAAAGTAAGCAGAGTAATTAATACACCTTAGCATCTAAAGAAAGAGCCCCCCTGCAAGAACATTAAGTGCAGAGTTTAACACTCCCTCCGAGTACAAGATGTTCCCTTTCTAACAAACGCATCCAAACATCTTGCATGCCCCCGACACCCCTTTCGGAGATGCTGCACCCCCGAACGGCGACGCAACCCACCTACCCCAACCCACAGGGGAATCAACTTGAAAGAGCCACCTACCGTTCATCCACAACCGCATTGCTTCAAGTGTGTGGGCTGATCGCCTTGCCTTCAGCTTATTCCCCCAGCGGCACCTGGTTCTGCTCTCCCGTAGAGGATGGAGGAAGAGAGAGGAGCTCAGAAGTGGAGCATCCCAGCTTGCTGGTTCATCCCGAGCCATCCGAAGAGAAACATGTCAGGAAGGGGGAGGGAGCAGGCTGCAGCCACAGACTCTTTGCAAAGGTGAGCTTGAAAGTGGGGGGGAAAGAAGAAAACCTCTGTGAGTTTCTCTCAGACTAGTTTCTGGTTTTGTTTGTTTGGGCACAAAACAGCAAGAAAAACCAAAAGGATGCATATGAAAATGAAGTCCATCCACACCATATATATCTAAAGCACATTTTGACGCACATTTAAAGCACCTCCCCCCCCAAAAAATCCTGGGAACTATAGTTTCATAAAGGGTGATAGGAATCGCAGCTCTGTGAGGGGGGAGAACTACAGTTCCTAGGTTTCTTTGAGTGAAGTCATGTACATTAAATGTACGCTGAGTGGGTTTTAAATGTATGGGGACCTTGGCTTACCTGACATGAGCAAGGTTCCTCTCATATCTCTGCCTGTGTAACAACACACAACCCCTTATTGGCTGATGGAGTGGGGGGGTGTTGCTGACTGTTTGGGGGGAGGGGAGTTCACCCCTCCCTGGTTGGGCATTCCTGTTTCATCTTTTTTGCGGGGGGGGGGGGGGTTTGTAGAATGGAAGAGGGCTTAATCCATGGAGATTTACTGGGAGCAGTGGTTTTGTATCCAAGTGGTCTCTCTCTCACACACACATACATGCACACATATACACGTCAGTTCCACGGCGCCCACGTGCAAATTAAGGGGAAAGGGCCGCAAGTCAGCGGCCGGACATCTGCTGCGCATGCAGAAGCTCCTGGGTTCGATCCCGGCATCTGCATGTAGGGTCGGAGGGGGTGGGGAGGCTTCCGCCTGAAACCCAGGAGAGCCCTCGTGGAGGATATTGAGCTGGGCAGAGCGATGGTTTGACTCCGCAAAAGCCAGTTTCCTGCGAAGTTCTCTGTCGCGCGCGCTCTCTCTCTCTGGGGCTTATATGGTCATATTATGAACATTATTACTCCTTTTATAATGGGATAGCGGGCAAAGCACAAAGCGGGTCGCTCCCCAGCAGGAGTTTCCCCAGCCTGGAGGATCTGTTGCCGGGAAGAGGCAAAGACATCCCCTCCCACCTCCCCACGAAAACAGCCCCCCTTCCTCTGTCGCCAAGCCTTGCCGCGTCTTCGCTCCGCCAAACCGCGTCCCACATCAAAGCCCCGGCTCGCTCCTCTCCCTCTCTCTCCACGAGGTGCCAAAGGAAGTTCGAGCCCAGGAACCGAGGGCGGACGCACGAAGCGCCCGGCGCGGACTCTCCCCTGCTCCCCCCATTACCTTGCGCCACGCCGCCGGGCTCCCCACAGTCTCGGCAGCTGCTCCCGGCTTCTTCCCACCCCCGCAAAGGCGCCTTCGCGGCGGCCCAAGCGCAGTGGATGCCTCCTCCTCCTCCTCCTTGGTCCCCCTCCTCCTGGCTTCGCGCAGTTAGGGCAAAATGGAGCAACCACGTGGGGAGGGGGGAGAGAGAGGCGGCGGCGGCGGCGCAGAGACCCAGCCAGATCCGCTGGATCCCAGCCCACCTGCCTCCGCTCTGCCCTCTCCAGAAGGGGATCCCTCTGCGTCGTTCTGCTAGATCCCGCTTCTGTTGCGCCCAAGTCCGTTATTTGTTCTTTGGCTCCTTCCGCAGTCTTTCTCTCGTGCGCTTTTACGCACACGCTCTGTCTCCGGAGTCTCTCTCTCTCTCTCTCTCTCTCTCTCTCTCTCTCTCTCTCTCTCTCTCGTATCGGGTTACTCTGCTCGGAACTCCGGTCTAATTGTCGTGCTCGCGATCGCGCTTGGAAGAGATTTGCTCCCGCTCTTTTCTTGCCTTGCGTTCATTCGCGGAGCGAGAGGCTCTCCTTCCCCAAGGCTGAAACTGGAAAAGGTAGGTCGCTCCCTCGCTCGCTTCAAACTTGGTAGAGGGAAAGAGTTCGTGGCCCAAGAGGGGGCGGAGAATCAACCGAGTTGCGTCCCCCCCACGCGCGCGCGCGCACACACGTGTCGGAGCAGCTGAATTCAGAGTGGGATTGAATAGAAGGTGCGTCAACTCCTTGCCTAGGGAAATGATTCTGAAATATTCTCTGTGGGTAGGTGGGTGCCCTCAATTGCCCTTACGAAAAGGGCAAGGAACTGGGGAAAGTGTAGCTGTCAGGGGTGCCAATTTGAATAAAATACTCTCCGACCCACACAGTCAATCACATGATGCGGTGTTCGCACACTCTTTGAATGACAATGCCCATCAACTTTAGGGGGGCAGCCCCCTCAAATATTTTATTTGTGGGGGGCAAAGACTCCCTCGGCCCCTAGAACCGTTGGCTCCTATGGTAGCTGTGATGTGAGGTGTGTAATCTGCTTCTTTAAGGCTGATGCACACCATGCGTAAAGAACAGCCCTGCTGCATCAGACCAATGGCCCATCAAGGCCAGTGTCCTGTTCTCACAGAGGCCAACCAGATGCCTATGGGAAGCAGGACTGGAAAGCAAGACCATTCTCTCCTCCTGCGGGGTCCAGCAACTGGTATTCAGAAGACTCTGACTTTGGACACTGGGCATCACCATCATGGCCAGTAGCCATTGATTTAAGACACATATCTTCCACATACAAAAACACTCCTCGTTTGTTATGGGTGCTGGAAATTGTAGCTCTGTGAGACTAACTACAACTCCCAAGATTCCTTGTGGGAAGCCATGCACTTTAAATGTATGGTGTTCAGCATGCTACCAAAGTTACAGATTCTGGTGAAAAACTAAATTGGGTTGTGGCCAACTAAGTTCAATCAGAGTAATCCCATTGCAATTAATAGTCCTCATTTAGTAATGTCCATTAATTTCAGTGGGGATACTCAAAAGCCTGTAGCCAAATAATTGGCTGGCTATTCAAGCCAGTGGCTCGCTGCAGACCTAGTCCTGGTCAGAGTAACAGTGAAACTTGGTCATAGCTGACTCAAGTCCCATGAATTTCACTGGGTCTACTCTATGCATGACAATCAGTTGTATCCAACATTAGAAATACTCAGAGTAGACCCATAAACATGACTTAGGTCCATTGATTTCAGTGGGTCTGCTTTGGGTAGCTCTTAGAGTTGAATATAGCCCTAAGTCTGGATCCAACCCAAACACATGAAACTCATATACGCCAGGCATCAGAGCTTGGCTCCAGATTAAAAGAAGACATCAATAGGCTTAACTGGTGACAGCAGCATTGAGGATCTCTGATCAGTGCTAGGTGGCTGACATTTTAATTTCCCATCATGTAGTGTGGACATTTGTGGGAGATTAAAATGCACTGGTCATTTTAAAGCTTTAAAGGGGACCCAATGCAGATGTCAGGAAAAGGCCCTATCAGGTTGCTGGTACCCCCAAAAATGCATTCTGGTGCTGGGCCTGCCACACAGACATCTCCCATCCTACTGCTGATGAACCTTTGGTGCTCCACATGTTGTTGGCCAATAGTTCCTTTTGTTGGCCAATAGTTCCTTTTGTCCCTGACCTTTGGCCATCCTGGCTGGGTCTGATGGGAGTTGGCGTCCAGGTTCCCCAGCCCTTTCCTAGGCACTTGTTTACCTGTCTCTTTCTCTTGCACTTTGGTTTCTGTTTCTTAGTTCCTTTCCTATTCTCTCCCCTTTCTTCCCTTCCTTCCTTCCTTCCTTGCCTTTAGGCTTCCTGTCTCTAAGGTTCCTTTCTTCTCTAGGTGCCAGTCTGCCTACAAAGCTGCCACCCCTCCAAGCTGAATAAGGTTTTCAATCCCAGCCAAACTGGCCAGCACCCCTTCCCTCGCAGAAACCGGATGGCAGACATTCCACTTTGTTCTATGGGACCTTCAGTGCTGTAACAGCAGCCTCAGCCATTCAGGGCCAGATGCTTCATCATCACATGCACACAACATATGCTTCAAGGAATAAGGGCAACCTCAAAGGTCCAAGGAACATGGAATATTCCAGTAGTTTTCAAACTTTTTAACAACAACAACAACAACAACAACAACAACAACAACAGAGACCTACCAGCAGCAAAGTTCTGTCAGTGGGATTCATATGTACTATCTGATCTAAAATTCACATCTACACTGAGCAGCATTTGACCTGTGAATCTTGGTTAGAGAGCAGCCCTCACCTGTTGCAATCAAACACACAGAGAAAAGAATAGACTCATAGAACATAAGTGTGGAGTTGCAGGGGACCCGGGGGGTCATCTAGTCCAACCCCCTGCAATGCACAAATCACAGCTACAGGGTCCCTAGCAGGTGGCCATCCAACCTCTGTTTAAAACCTTCCACTTTCCAAGGTAGTCCATTTCACCATCCAACAGCTCTTACTGCCAGAAAGTTATTTGCACCCATGTACGCAGCCACACACTTTCTAGAGCAGAAAGTGAAGGGACATGAATCATTGTCTGTTTGCTCTTCACGCTTGTATCAAACTCATCTTTCAAAGTGGCTTACTTGGAGCCGTCCAATAAGACTAATTGGCAGTGCTCTCAGGATAAACACAAGGAGGTTTTATTCCATTCAATACATAACTCACATATGGGATTCGCTGGCAGACAATGCTCTTGTGTCTTAAAAAATAGGATGCATCAGCCTGTCAGTGGGTCCCGATGAGCGCTGCAACAAAATGTTGCTGCGTGGAATGCTCCTGTTCAGTGTGCCAGCCAGCCAGCCAGCCAGCCATGCTCTCCTCCACAGCTTTCCATTACAGTCCCCTTGTCACCCAGTTCCCCTTCCTCTCCCAACAGCAGGTCAGCATTCCCTAACTATTGAGTATGTGCATTTTTTTTCTGCTTCCATGAATTTTCGGCTCACAGGACCCTGCTTGTTCCTCACCTCTCTTTCGTGTGTGTGAACTACCCTGAGACCTCTGGGTATAGGGTGGTATATAACTATTATTATTATTATTATTATTATTATTATTGCTAGGTAATTATTGGCACTCCCACCTGAATATCAGTAATTGAGGAAATAATTGGCCGCAGTACAATAGAGGCAGGTCCATTAAGGGCAAATGGGGCACTGCCTCACCAACCTTTGTCTGCCCTCAGCCAACTCCCCACCCTCTGGCTTTCTCTCTTTTTACCAGTGCAGAGGGTGCTCCTCTTTAATTTTAACGTTGACCTTATAGAATTTCTCAGAGAAGAGGATGCAGACAGAACTATAAGGCTCTGCCTGTCATTGGCTCTGGCGCCATCTACTGTTCGTCTCCCTGCTTCCCACCCTACCAATCTCAACAGGCACCAGCTACTACTGCAGAACATCTCTATTCCATTATAGGCACTACGAAAAAGAAAGACCCCTGGATGGTTAAGTTCAGTCAAAGGCAACTCTGGGGTTGTGGCACTCATCTTGCTTCAGGCCGAGGGAGCCGGCGTTTGTCCACAGACAGCTTTCCGGGTCATATGGCCAGCATGACTAAACCGCTTCTGGAAGTATATGTTCCTGATAGGGAAGCTGCCCGCAACTCCACCACCCCAGAAGCTGTCTTTTCAATGCTCAGATTGAAACACTGATTCTCTGCAAAATAGCAGATTGAGATACCACAATAGCAGGTTGAAATATTGCAACAAACAAAACCTCTCCCCGCGCTCCAGTATGCTGCCTGATTTTTGAACCAACCTCCGTAACTAACCGCGGTGCCACACAGGCTCTCTCTGTGTCGGAGAGCATGGGGGGAAACGGGGGAACAGGGAGAAGTTGCTTCCTCCTTCGAGATGCTGAAACCAAACGGCTTGGCAACTGAATTTTGTATCGGCAACAGAACAGCACCCTGCACTGCACCTGGGGGCTGCAAGCAAGCTTAGAGGGTGCAGGGCAAGACATGTGGCGCACAAATCTCCAACACCTTGTTGCCACTCCCTTGCCAACAGCACCTTCTGCCGGAGGCAGTACTTGCCCTCTGCTGTCTAACGGTAGGACCGGCTCTACTTGTCTCTTCCAGTGTAAGCTATTTCACAGCCCATCTAGGGGTAGTAGCCAACTAATGCATCCCATGAGTGCAAGGATTTACTCTGGTTCCTCCTCTCTTCTGCCTGCACACTACCTACATCTGCTGTAGGGGTTTCTCCCAACCTTCCATAGCAGATTTGGAAAGAGTTCCACTGTAGAAGTATAAACCCTTGCACAGATGAGAGGCATTCATTGGATACTGCCCTACCTATTTTTCCACTGGGCGATGGAAACAGATCCTGCGATTTACAGATGGAAGCTGTTCTTCCTGCGAGGGTGAATTGGGGAGGCCAGATTAAATGGCTTAAATGTGCCCAAGTGTTTTCTCTCCCTGTTGCTTCCAGCTATGGCGAGCCTTTGATCCAAAACTTTGGCAAGATGTACAATGGCGTCCTATAAATAGCAGCAATAGAAGCATTCACAGCCCTGCACCCACCCACAACCTTACATCACAGTCAGCAGCTTCCGTCAGAGTTACGATCAGTGCAGTGATCTATGGACAGGACCGGGATGCTTTGCTAGTGCACATCAAATAGCCAGGCTAACTGAGCTTGCAGGAATCTGCCAGGTTGAGTTTGATGTAGGTAGAGATGAGAAGAGTAATGAACTATTATTAATAATTGAAGCTATTAAATTGAAAGGAAGCTGATCTTTAATATTCATGGCAACAATGAATGCAAAATGAAGAAAACCACCTTGGCCCATGTTTCGCATCCGTAGAAGCAAAACAAAACAGATCCTAGTACATGGGTCACCAACCTGGTGCCTGCAGGTGCAGATGTGCCCACAGAGGTCTTTCCAGGTGCGTGCAGGATCCTGTGGCTTGCCTGACCCCTGCTCAGATTGAGCTTGAAAGAAGCTTTCCTTAGCCAATAGAAGCCTTTGTGTGCTCTGTACCTTTA